ATTCATGCACTTACAATCTCAAGAGTACCTGAATGGCTGGTTGAATTGAAATCAGAAAATTTAATTTTGTTTGCATTTTCTTTATGCTTATATGCGTATGTGTGCGTGTATGTAGTCGTTATGGATTGACAAAGAATGAAAAAATTAAATAACTAAGAAGAAAATGACTCACTGTAAGGAGACGTGGCAAATAATTACTGGCCACGCCCCTTTCAAACCCCGTTAAATGTAATGGGTGTTGCCACTAATTATCAAATAGTTTTCATTTGCTCATGATATCGATGCAGTTCAGTGCAAGCTTCCCGTTTGTCTTTCATATAGTACATTGATTTATAGTTTTGAATGACATTTATTTGATCATCTTCCTCCGTCGCGCATCTTGGATGCCCACTTTTGGCCTTACTTGGATCAGTTGCTTGGTGTCGCTGGATCCAGAGAGACACGCTTGGCTTCGAAATACCCATTCTTAATATTTCTGTTCTAGATAGTCCCTCAGAATAAAACGGAGTTATGACGCTATGAACGGTCTATGAGGTCTTAATTTATAGTACTGGCATAATACGAGGCTCTTATCATATCAGCTCCGAAACACTTTTCAAACACATTATAAAGCTTCACCTGTTCCTAGCTTTAAAAACAAAAAATACCAAGGTTACAACTACTCCAAAGTAAGAAATACATCACACATTTGCAGCGGCTGCTTACCAGACGAGAAATATGCCACAGGCAGACTTGAATCCTTTCCACGAACTCCCTGTGGTTAAATCACTTTGGAAGTAAGAATGAGCTCCCCTTTTTTATTTAGATCTTGGACAGTAGTTCACACACACACACACACACACACACACACACACACACACACACACACACACACACACACACACACACACACACACACACACACACACACACACACACACACACACACACACACACACACACACGCACGCATATATATGTGTTGGTGTGTGTCGAAAGAGAATTTTGAATATGAGAGAATTTTTAAATCAGAGGAAGGAACCAACCATATCCAAAAGTCAAGAAAACCCTAGCAATAGTAATGCTGAGCATAGACTTTATTGAGTTTTCTTAGAAATTCGTGAGTTGCTTATTCATTTTCATTGCATTAGAATAAGATCGAATGGAATGAGATCTGTTTAAAGAATTAATTTTCTTAGTCGTATGGCATTCACATTCATGCACTTACAATCTCAAGAGTACCTGTATGGCTGGTTGAATTGAAGTCAGAAAATTTAATTTTGCGTGCATTTTCTTTCTGCTTAGCTAATACTCTGGCATCACAATTTCAAATTTATTTAAAATTGATTCTAGAAGGGTTATCATCATTAATACTGACAGGTATAGGTAAATTGGAAAATATAAATGTTAAACAAAGTGTTTTGGTTTCTTCTTTAAACCCGCGCACGCATTCATACCTCATGTCACACTCCAACCTACCTCTAACCAATTCATGCAATGTTCCTCTTTCAGTCCCACATCTTTCCTTACTTGACTTCTCTTCCCTGACCCCCTAATCTGTTGGACATCCTCACTGAGACCCCACCTTTTCAACTGACAGCGTATTCTCCTTCCTCAGATGCATAAATACCCACCTTTTCATATAATCACCCTTTATCCTTAACCCTTCTGCGTTCTATCAGTCCCTATCACTACCCCCAACTCCATTTACTCCTCTTTCTACCTCTTTCTTTACCATACTATTCCCATACCCTTCACTATAGTAATTTACCATAGTGTATATGATCTGATGCCTATCACATTTATTTGTTTAAAGCATTAACCATTATTATGACTATAAAGTAATCACTTGATAGAGTGCCACGTACACTAGGATTTGATTTTTGATTCAATGAGACAGGCTTTGTTTACTAATTCAACGTTCGTTTACTCAGTAAATCAGTAAATAAAAATATTTTTGTTGCCACTGTCAATCTACGTACACCGTGCTATAGCATATGTTGGCACATGATTTAAAAAGCGACTATAACATGATTACACACACACACACATATGTGTGTGTGTGTGTCTTCTCAGCTTGTTCCTATTCGGGGTCGCTGTTTCTTATGAGCCTACTCCAGATGGTTCTGTTCTAAGCATCTCTTTAATCGAGACCTTTCTCTCTCATGTCCGCATTTACACAATATTTCCATCTGATTCTTGGGTTTCCCCTTCTATGTGCCCCTGGTATTCCCATACCCATCGATTCTCTTCCAATGCGATCTTCATCGTTCCTTCTCATCAGATGTCCAAACCATCTCAATCTTGACTTCTTCTTGATCTCCTTCTCCATCTGTTGTCATATATTCCGTTTCACTTCTTCTTATCTTTATACTCTACTCTCTCGAGTTTGTTTTGTAGAGCTCGCTTACTCGTTGCCACTAAAACAACATCATCCGCATAGAGGATACACCATGGTGGGCTTTCTCTAACTGCTTCCGTAAACACACTAAGCACTACATTAAAAAAAAATTGTGCTCAG